ATAGATTAAAAGAAGTTTTAACAGATTAAAACAAGACTTTTAACAGATTAAAAGATTATTTTAACAGATTAAATAAACCAGCTGTTTTGAAAATATTCTATATAAACAGAGTTGCTTGAACTTTTTAAAACATATCTTTTAGCAATCAATCAAGCAATCATAAGTGCTACTTTCAAGAGAGAATCACGCTAGTTTTCTGAAGTTCATAGAAGTTCTTTCTTGAGGAAAAATTTGCATTCTTTTGGAGAAGAAACTCATACTGCAGAGCTGCATAAATCTGGTTTGAGCATTCTAGTTTCTTCTCCTTGTTTCTTTACTTTCTTTACTGTATTGTGGGTGCCTGGAATTGTGGTCACTGGTTTCTGTAGCTAGAATTTGGCTGCAGGGTTGGTCAAGAACTGCAATTTGGTTCTTGGTGAAGGTTTAGGTGTAGGGACTGGAATTTTGGTTCTTGTGGTAGATTGAGTGTAATATTAAAGTTGTAATCAGTAAAACGTTCAATCTAGTGGAACCCAGCTGGAATTTGGCTGGAAACTGGACATAGCCTGGGATTGGGTGAACCAATATAAATCTTGGTTGTATCTTTCTAAACCTTTCTCTCCTTTAATTCTGTGACGGCATTTATTTTGATTGCTTGCTGTGTGTGATTCAAAAACTGGTCAGGATTCTTAATCTTTGAAATAGATAATCTGTAAATTGCGAAAATTTTTCAAAGATCAATTCACCCCCCTCTTGATCTCAGCCTACATTTCTAACAACCTTAAATTTTTCCTAGACCGTGCATGCTTATGATTCATTTAACATAGAGGCATTTTCATAATTTGGTCAAGAGAAAAGAAATGAAAGAAAATTTTATTGATATGAACAAATAGTTTATTTTTTACAGAAGGATTTATAAAGGGATTTAAAAGCATGACTGGCCAAGGTTGGCTACACTGTATAAGCTATAACAATCATGCCTCTGACATCTGTCCCCTTAGTTCTCCTAGTTGCCTTAGTCGAGATGCTCGAGCCCAGAGTGAAGACCATGCAAAGCTTCCCTGTTTCTGGAAAGGCCGTTACCTTAGCCGCCTTGCAGTTTTCGGCTAAGATAACCATTGCTCTTTTTATTTATTTTCAATCTTTTCTAAACCTCTAAGTTTTGCCTAGGACGTATGCTAGTGAGGTGTGTGGACCCTATCTTTTGCTCAAAACACTCTTTGCGGGTTTTCATCCTGGCGGGTCATGAGCAATGTCTTCAAGCGTAATACTTCTTCACCACATCTGAATTGACTAGGTGTCGCAGTTCTTCTCCATCCATGTTGGTGAGGATAAGAGCTACTCCTAAGAAGACTCGCTTGACCACAAAGGGTCCCTCATAATTTGTTGCCCATTTTCCGATTTTATCCTTCTGGGCTGGAAGTAGTTTCTTTATCACTAGATCCCCCTGGTGATAAGTGTGGGGTTTGACCTTTTTGTCATAAGCCCTTTTGATTTTCTTTTGGTAGGCTTGTCCGTGACATATAGCGTCCAATCGTATTTCTTCGATTAGGTTCAATTAATCGTACCGATTTTGGACCTATTCTGCTTCTGTCAACTTTGCTTCCATAATAACTCGCAGGGAGGGTATTTCGACTTCCACTAGCAGTATGACATCCATGCCGTATACGAGGGAAAATGGAGTGGCTCTTGTGGAGGTTCGTACGGAAGACCGATATCTGTGTAGGGCAAAGGGCAACATTTCATGCCAGTCTTTATATGTTATCACCATCTTCTAGATGATTTTCTTGATATTTTTGTTGGCTGCCTCTACTGCACCGTTCATTTTGGGTCGGTATGGAGAGGAGTTGTGATGTTGTATTTTGAAATCATGGCATAACTCTTCCATCATCTTATTGTTCAGATTGGTCCCATTATCAGTAATAAGACGATGAGGGATGCCATATTGACACAGGATATTTTTCTTGACGAAGGTGGTCACTACTTTCTTGGTCACATGTGCGTAGGATGCCGCTTCTACCCATTTGGTAAAGTAGTCAATGGCCACCAGGATGAAACAATGACCATTGGACGCTTTGGGCTCGATGGGTCCAATAACATCCATGCCCTACATGGAGAATGGCCATGGCGTAGTCAAGACATTGAGGGGCACTGGTGGGACATGAACACTGTCGGCGTGGACTTGACACTTGTGACACTTTTTAGCGTAATGATGAAAATCACCTTCCATTGTGGACTAGAAGTATCCCGCCCTTAGGATCTTCTTTGCCATGACATGTCCTGGTATGTGGGTTCCGAAGGCTCCTTCATGAATTTCCTTAATTAAGGTTTGAGCTTCTTCGTGGTCCACACACCTCAATAAGCTGGAGTGAAAATTTTTCTTATAAAGGGTTCCTCCGATCAATGTGAACCCTACAACTCTCTTCCGAATGGTCCTTTTATAATTATCATTAATTCCCTCAGGATATTCACCCTTCATGAGGTATCGCTTGATGTCATGATACCAAGGGAATTTGTCTTCCTCGCTAGTTAGTGCCATACAAAAAAGGTGCCTTTTGCTAGAAGAGAGGAAATGTAGGAACCTTCGAAGCAAGCTTTGTATTAATATTCTTGGTAAAGAAAGGTGCCTTTTGGCAACCTCCATGCTCTACAGTGTTGATCGCTCTTTCTCGCAACACTACAGGACGCTTACTGAGAACACTAAGAAACTCCGAAAATGCTTCGAAGGGATCCTAGGAGAATAATTTGGAGAAAGTGCAGGAGGGAAAGTTGTTCTGTGTTGTGAAAAGGATGAGGTTGCCCCCCCCCCTTTTTTAGGAATTCGCACCTGTCAGGTCGGGACCGTCGTCACGCCAAATGGGACGGTTGTCTTGCTTTCGGCAAGTGGTGAGATGGCGATCTCACCATTGGCGATTGCCGAGACGGCGGTGTCGCCATTAGCAAGTGGCGAGACGACAGTCTCGCCAAATGAGACAGCAGTCTCGACCCTTTAGGTGGAATTTCTTATTTTTCCCATACAAAAAACCTTCCTATTCTAAAATGGGGCCTATTGATCTATCCTAGGGACCTTTTAGGCCTTGCTCATCTTCGAACAGAAGTCTTCTGATTTTTATTTTGAGGTTGGGCTTACTGCTCTGGCTGCGACTTACTGCTCTAGTTGCGACTTTGTAGGACTGGTTGCGACTTACTGCTCTGGCTCATTCGCAGATGTTGCCTGTGTGCAGGTCTTTGTCTTCGGGACCTTCCTTGTCCCGAAGTGGTGGTGGCGACTTACTGCTCTAGCTCATGCGCCTGTTCCATGGGGAGTGTTTATGCTTTGATAAATGATTTTGATTTTTATGGTAAAGTCTTCTGATGCACCGAGGATTTTTTGATATTTTGGCTTTTCTTGATAGCCATCCAGCTTGTTGATTGCTAGGAATTTCTGGTGATTTTTGGGCGACGCCTTTAAGTAGGTGGGAGTTTTGCTTGTTTTACCTTTTCCTCTTTGTTGGAAGAATGGTGGTTAATGTTTTGGATTTAATCTCGTATTTTTCCGCGGTTTATCTTTTTTCTCGCGATTTGGATTTTGGATTTTTCGGGATAACGCGTAAGACTTTTTACTTTTTAGTCTCTTTTTATTACGCTGACTTTTTCGAGAAGAGAATAAAGGCAAAAAAATTTACCAAAATATTTTATATATATATATATATATATATATATATATAATGAATTTGTACAATGATTATACTAATACAACGATGTCCCTAAGGTGGCGGCGGACTCAATTGCGAGGCCGAAGATGGCTCAAGAGGAGGGAACTGCCAGAGCATATGCCTCTGAAATTTCTCCTAGCTCCGGATCATGTCGAGCTGACGTTGGATGATCACGTCCAGGCTCTAAATCATTCCCTCTTGCCTCTGGTTGATGGTCTCCAACCGCGTCTTGAAGACGTCCTGCCTCAGGGACATCTGGTCCAAGTACTAGCGAATGTCATCCATGTGACGGTGCATGCCAGGAAAGTCATCGTCGTATTGCTACTGCTGCTCGAACTCTGGGGGCATCGGGATCTCCTACGACACATCCAAATCTTGGATGCCTAAGGTCATGGCGAGCGCAGGGTGGAGGGCCACCTGGGACCCCTGCCTGATAAGCATCCCCATGCTGACGAGCATGGATCTGGTGATGTACTCGGGTCGGAGGATGGAGGAAATTTCCTCCTCGCCGGGGCACCCCCACCTCTCGGCCAGCAGGGTGATGAGAGGACCCTTGAGGATGGCTCCGACGGGGTGACTCCCGAAGTCTTTCAGAGCCCTCATGAAGAAGTAGCCGGGGTTACACTAGCTTCCATGTAGCATGCAGTGCAGCACGAAGAGGTCAAACTGAGTGATCTTCCCCTGACTTTCCTTCCACGTATGGATTGTCCCTGCCAGCAACTTGTGGCAGATGCAGAGAGGAGGGCTGAGCGCCGACCCTTTCATCAGGGCGGGTAGAATTTGTGACCTGGTGAGATCCTCCCATATCTCACCGGTTGTGAGGGCAGTCAGCCACTCACAAATGGCTCCTTGATATTCTGGCGTTAGGGTGTCTGCGGGCTGTATGAAGCCTATGGAGACGTTGAACTCATCCAATGTCATCGTCTGGTAGGTCCCGTTCATATAGTATGAGACCATTCTCACCAGAGGGACACCCGAGAATATCGTGGGCATATCGATCATCGTGACGGAGGCGAGGAACTCCATCACAACTTGCTTGTAGATGCAGGTCGAGGGGTCCTAGAGGAGGAAGTCCTACCCGATGATCTGGATGTATCCACGCACATCCTCCTCCCAATGGAACTCGGCCAGGATACCGTGGTCTAGTCTCAGCATGGGGTGCCAAGAGTAGCCCCTGATGTGTTCCAGCTTGGCCTGGTGCTGCGGCGTGAGCTGGGTAGGGTGTGGAGGAGCTTGGGGTGCAGATGTGCTCGGGTCGGGGCCCCGACCTCTCTTTCGGGGCCTGGAGGATTCTCCTTGTTGCATTTTGGGCAAAGACACTCAAAGATGTATGAGAATGTATATGAGGATGCAGGAATGGAGTGCTTTAAACTGACCCAAAAGCCACCTTTATATAGGAAATTTTACTTTTTGGTCGGGACCACTGTCTGGGATTTGGGACAGCGGTCTCAAATTTTTGAAGCTTGGGATCGCCATCTAGAATGTCGAGACGACAGTCTCACCAAACAAGAAGGCGGTCTCCCCTTTAGCAAATGGCGAGACGACGATCTTGCTTTTCAAAGTTTTTTTTTTTAGGAAAATATAGGACCTTGTTTAAAAACATCTATGCATGCAATGTTTTCATGTTTTGTGTCCTATAATGCTATTTCATTGATTTTTCATAAGGATTAACTAGTGTGTCTTTTGATGACGAGGTCCTTCTGATGTCTTTTTTAGCTGTACTTGTTTGTACTATTCCAGACTTAATATGACCGAAGAATAAATGTTGGTTTGAGGAGCACACTTGCCATGTCGGTGTGTTTTTTCCTTCCTCTAGAGGTTTCAATCCTCTTGTTGATTATATGCCTCCATATTCCCCTACTAATTATCATAATGTTATGATAAGGGTCAATAGAAGAGAAGTAAGAGGATAATTTGTTTAATGGCTTGTGTTTTAGACGGTTGATTTTTATTTAGAAGGGACTTTCTAAGAAAGGTTGGCCAAGGTTGGTCAGAGTGTTTAAGCTGGTGCTAAACAAACATCTTACTTTGAGGGTTCGCGTCTTAGCCAATTTCTATCGCTCTGTATGGCTGATTGACTTCCCTAGACTGCCCTTTGGGTTTTCAGACTAGGATACTATGTTTTGGTCCTAACTTTTGTCTAGGTTCATTTTTTCTTGTTTTGGGAATCCTAGCGGACCTTATTTAGTAACCCTAACTTCTGCCTAGGCTACCCTTTATTGTTGTTCAAGTTTCCTAGCGGGTTAATCCTAATTTTTGTATAGCCCCCTTGGTGGGTTTCCTATCGGGTAATTTGCCCTCTCTTTTTTGGCCTTTGGCTTCTATGGGCTTCTTTTGATTTATTTTCTTTTTTTTTTACACAATATTGGTGAAACACGATTTTATTATGATGAGGTAAAACCTTATTCTGTGTTTCTAGTCAACCAGCTTGATTATTATTGTGATGGCGTGTTTTGATTATTTTGACGCATTTTTTAGAAAATGTTTGCTTAAACATGGTTATTACGAGGTCTAGTCATGAATAGCAAGAAAAGAAGCAAATGGTAAGAAATGTATTCTTATTCATTAATAGGGGAATATGTGCCCAAAAGATGCCCGGGGGTCGGTGATCGATGTCGTACTCGGTCAAATAATTAAAACAGATAAATGTAGTACTAGGAAGTTTTCCTAGGTCGTCTCCCAAAGACCACGAATTTCTATCAAAGCTTATCAATTTTTAAAATTAGAACAGTAACAAAAAAAAGGGAAGTTTTTCAAAATTAAAATATTAGATGAAACAGAACAAAAGCAGATTATAAAAATGTGGATTAAAAACAGATTAAAATGCAATTGATTTCCTGATTCTAATGCAGTTTCACTTATCCTAGATTACGAAATTAATTCGAAATTAACCAACTAAGCGAAGATAAATCCCAAATTATATTCTAATTCAAAATTAATCAACTAAGCGAAGATTAATCTCAAATTAGCTTTAACCCTTGTTCCAATATGAAATTAACCAACTAAGCGAAGATTAATCCCAAATTTTCCTTAACCCTTATTCCAACATGAAATTAACCAACTAAGCGAAGATTAACCCCAAATTATCCTTATACAATTAAGCATTGCATACATCACATAATCTCATCTCTAACACAGAATTAAGCAAACTGTGATATTAGTTTCGGTTTATTAAGCATAAACAGATTATAATTCAACACTGAGATTAGAAGATGAAGAGTGAAGAGAACAAATGAAATGAAATTGAATAACAAAACCTCAAAGATCTACTTGCATTCTTCTCAGAAAATCAATATAAAGATTTAGCTATCCATGGAAAGTTGAAAACGCAATAGAAGAAACATAATTAAAATCGAAACAAGAATTTAAAAATAATGACAGAAGAGTAAACAAACTTGAATATAAATTGCAGAAGATGAAAGGTGGAAGTGTGGTGGATGCGTAGTCCTTGTGTGATGTGTCTCTCGTGTGATGTGACTCTCTTATATAAATAACCCTAAACCTAATCTTAATCGAGGTTTGGGCTCAACTAGTCCATGAAACACATCATAAATTTGTTAGAAAAGTAGTTTTAAATCAAGAGGGGGGGTGAATTGATTTTTGAAAGTTTTTCGCAATACACAGATTATCTAATCCGAAAATTAAGTTTACTAATCAATTCACGAATCACAAAGCAATTAAACAATATAAGCGCAGCAACTGAATTTAAAGAAAGAAAGGTTAGGAAAGATTTCACCGGTAATTTTATACTGGTTCACCCAATACCAGGGCTACGTCCAGACTCCAGCCAAATTCCAGCTGGGTTCCACTAGAATAGATGTTTTACAGACTCACCCTCTTACACCTATTCTAACACCAGAACCAATTTCCAGTTCCTGACTTTAACCTTTCCACCAAGAACCAAATTCCAGTTCTTGGAAACCTCTACAACCAAATTCCAGTTGCAGAGAAACCAGTGCCCAAATTCCAGTTCCTGCACTTAACCTCTCCACCAAGAACCAAATTCCAGTTCTTGGAAACTTCTACAACCACCTACCAGCTGCAGAAAACTTGTACCCAAATTCCAGGTACAACACAATACAAAGTAATGAAAAGCAATTGAAAAGAAGAGACTTAGAAAGCTCAAACCGGATTACTCTAATCCACAGCAAGTTTCTTCTTCACAGAATGCAATATGCCTCAAGAAAGATTTCAAAAAGAACTTCACAAAACAGTTGTAATTCTTTCTTGGAAAAAAGGATGCTAACAGTTGCTTGTATTGATTGCTTGAATTGTGTAAAAACTGATATTCAATCTCTGTTTGAAAATTTCAAGCAAAACTGTTTTTAAAGAGAATTTTCAAATCTGCTGCATTAATTAATCTGTTGAAAGTTTGTTTTAATCTGTTGAAATAGCCGTTACAATCTGTTAAAAGTCCTTTCAACCCATTAATGCATTCTTGATCTTTAACAGAAAATGTTTTAGTTGATACGACCACGTTTTTATCAGTTAAAATGTTTTACAAACATTTTCAAAGTAAAACAATCGATTGAATCGCGTATTAATCGATTGATTTGTTTAAAAACCTTCTTATAAAACTTTCCAAGTTATTTTAGCTGATATAAAGTCGTTTCAATCGATTGAAAAACTGCACATATATTTTCAAGTCATTTTAATCGATTGAAAGTTCGTTTTAATCGATTGAAAAGATTTTCTAAGTTATTTTAATCGATTGAAATACGTTTTAATCGATTGAAACAGATCTGATCGGTCATAATTCAATTCTGATCGATCATATCCAACTCTGATCGGTCATAATCTCATTCTGATCGATCATCCTGACATCCAAAGTGATTTTAATCGATTGAAACGTGTTTTAATCGATTAAAATAATTCTGATCGCTCATATTTAAGATCTGATCGATTATATTACATTCTGACCTATTATATTCGAATTCTAATCGGTCATAAAGAGTTTTAATCGATTAAAAGAAGTTTGTATCGATTAAAATATTGTAAAAACACTTTTTAAAACATTCTAAGTGTTTTAAATTGATTCTTTCAAACCTGTATCTGTTAATAACTTGTTTAAGAAAATTCTTTGTCAAAATGCTTTTGTTTGATTTGTTTAAAACTATTTTTGAGGCATTTTGCAAATTGAGTGAAGAAGCTTTATGCAGTGGAAAAGGTAAAGTGGTTTTACCTAAGCTTTCTGTTTAGACACACTAAGTCTTCAGCTCCTTTGTTCTGAGTGACTTGTTTGACAGCTGCAGAGTTGACCCTTGACTTTATTTTTGACTTCATCAAATCAATGAGATCTTTGCTAGGATCACTTTCAAAATTGGCTTCAGTGTAGGTCCATGAACTTCAAACACGTGCAGTATTTTCAATACTTATCCAAATTAAGCTATTTTGGTCTTCTTTGAAATCCTTTTGAGCTATCTTTAAAATGCCACTGTTTCTACTATTTTCGGAGGTCTAATGAATTTAGGAGACTTAAATTACTGAAGCATGTCCATTGGGCCAGCCTGGTGCGCTTGACCCGTTTTGGATAATTTATGTAAAATCCAATTTATATCCGAATTGAATGATTTTGGATCCTATGGAAAGCTGGATGTGTCTAGTTTATAATGTTTTGAAAATAATGATTTTTGGAGATCTGTAGAAAAAATGATAAATAAAACAGTAAACCAATGTTAATACCCGTATAGAATAAAATTTGACAATTTACCCAATTTTTCAAGCCCAAAATTGCTTTAAAATGTCCTAAAATTAATAATGAGTAAAAATTAGATCAAATAGATTCAAATTAATTAAAATCTAAATTATTGGCCCAATGAAGCCCAATCAATGAAAATGCACTAATAATAGACAATTAAACACAATGCACCAATTAAGATAAGTACATAAAGATAAGAAAATGCGGGAAAATAATGACTCATCAAATTCCCCCACACTTAGCCTTTTGCACTCCCGGGAAAAATCAAGAATCAAAGCAAGGAGCAATTCCAAATACATCGAAGAGAGTGACTGTCGCCGCCGTAAAAAACGAGGGCGGTCGGAGCGACGCGATGGTTTTTCGACTTTCCATTTTTCGCGTTTTGGTGTGGTACAACGCCTTTAGGTTGTCCGATAATTGGGCTGAACCTAGAGGCGAGGTTTTCGAAAGGGCGCTCTTAGATTGTCCGATAACCGGGCTAATCCAAGAGTTAGTTTTGGAGGGTTCTGTGGAGTCGCCACCGACGTTTTACCAGAAACATCGGAAAAGGAGTTAAAAGGCGTCAGTTTTCAAAAAACCAACTTTGGTCATTAAAACCAGAGTTGGGTAAGGGAGTTAGTTACGTGTAAAGGAAGTGTTAGTTCCTTTACGACGCCCCTTTCGGGTTCCCTATGATAGGCTAGCTACTTTGGATAAATAAACTGGGAAATACGCTTTTACCCTTTATTTTGCGGAATTTAAAGTTACGACTACATGACCCTAATCTCTATTGCATAATTAAAATTAAAGCAGTAAAAGTAGAGAGAGAGAGTATAAACCTCCGAAACAAGCTTTTCTTATTAATTCCTTCTAAAAATAGGGTGCTTTGTGGCAGCCCTTCACTCTACAGCGTCGGAAACCTCTCGAAACGCTCAAAAAACACTCTTAGAAACGCTCAGAAACTCCGGAAATGCTTCGGAGGGGTTCTAGAGAGAGAATTTGAAGTGATTTCTAGAGAGAAGGAGGAAGAACTTGTTGGAAATGAGGGGAATAGGGGCCCTATTTATAGGGATTCGCACTTGTCAGGTCGAGATGGGCCATCTCGTCTGACAAGGTCGAGATGGCGGTCTCGCCTTGCAGGAACGTCGAGACGGGGGTCTTGACAAACGAGACGGCGGTCTCGCCATCTGCGCAAGGCGAGATGACGGTCTCAAATCCGAGATGGCGGTCTCGACCTTAAAAGGCGAAAATCCTTATTTTTGGACCAGAAAACCCTCCTATCCTAATATGGGGTCTAATAGTCTCTCCTAATGGCTTCTTAGGCTTCGTCCATCTTCGGAAAGGAGGTCTTCTGGTCTTTATTGTTAGGCCGGACAAGATTTGGGGTCTACAGTGATATAACAAAAAGGAGCAAGAACAAGAAGACACACAAAAC